GACCTTCATCTCACATATTCGGCCTGTAAAGTCCCTTCAATTTGTGGCTAAAAATGGGGGGGGGAGCACAACCAAAGTAATTTTACAGCCGTTTTTGAGTCATTCGGAGAAGATTCAGAGGAAGTGGCTGTAGCTTGGTTTTGTGTCCATTTCTGATAATTTTCTGGTCTTTTACTCCAAGTTTTGTTCTTTTTCTGGCTAATAATTGTAGTTTTGTGTCCATTTTTTTTAATCATTTTATGGTCTTTTACTCAACATTTTGGTCTTTTTATAGCCAATAATTTTAGTTTTTTGTCCATTTCTGATAATTTTCAGGTCTTTTACTCCACATTGTTGGTCTTCTTATGACTAATAATATTAGTTTTGTGTCCATTTTTGATAATTTTCTGGTCTTTTACTCCACGTTTTGTTCTTTTTATGGCTAATTATTGTAGTTTTGTGTCCATTTTTGATAATTTTCTGGCAACGTTTTGTTCTTTTTATGGCTAATAATTGTAGTTTTGTGTCAATTTCTGATAGTTTTCTGGTCTTTTTCTCCACATTTTGGTGTTTTTATGGCTAATAATTGTAGTTTTGTGTCCATTTCTGATCATTTTCTGGTCTTTTACTCCAAGTTTTGTTCTTTTTCTGGCTAATAATTGTAGTTTTGTGTCCATTTTTTTAAATCATTTTATGGTCTTTTACTCAACATTTTGGTCTTTTTATGGCTAATAATATTAGTTTTGTGTCCATTTATGATCATTTTCTGGACTTTATGGCATTTCTGTTACTTCTTTTGAAATTTTCTTATCAGTTATCCCCCTTTTCTGGTCTTTTGCTGCAAGTTATTTTAGGATTTATTATAGCAATTTTATTTCAATTTCTGATCCTTTTTCTTTTTGTGTATTCTTTTGCCTCGAACGTCTCTGCAGCCTCAGCATGGACTTTTTTTCTTTCTTTCAGACTGGAAGAAATACAATCCAAAGTTGGGTAATACTTTAGATTTATTAAGAAAGAGGAGCACTATTAGTAATACAACCTGAGAAAAGGACTGCTTTTGACTTTTGCTTGACATTTTAATCATTTTATGGCTAATTGTTGGAGTTTTGTGTCTATTTCTGATCATTTTCTGCTGTTTTGCTGGACTTTTGGCAATTCTTTTGTTATTTTATGATCATTCTGGCCCAATTTCTGTTATATTTGGTGGTTTTGTGGCTAATTATAGTTGGCTTGTGTCGATATCTTGTAATTTTCTGGTCTTTTGCTGGCATTTTTGTGTCTATTTTTGTCATTTTGTGATCAGTTTATTCCCTTTGATGGTCTTTTACCACACAATTCGGTCATTTTAAGGCTAATTATTAGCATTTCTGTCAGTTTCTGATTTTCTCTCTTTTACTGGACTTTTTGTGTATTCTTTTGCCTCAAACATTTCTGCATCCACAGCATGGACTTTGTGTCTTTCTGGATTTCAGACTTGGAGAGGAACAATCCAAACTTCGGTGATACTTTGTCTGTTTTTTTTTAAGAACAGGAGCACTATTAGTTATAAGAGCTGAGAAAAGGAATTGTCCATTGGTTGTCTTGAAATTGCCTCAATAAATCTACTGTTTAAAGTCGAAGAACAGATTAAAAACAAAGATAATGAAATAAAGTTTTTTATTTAGTTTTTTGTTGGGAATAAAACAATCCTCTGTCTGTACAAAAGTGAGCTGCATCATCTTTTTAAGGTGGATTTATTGGTTTGCTTTATAGGAAAAAAATCTATAAGTATAGAATACGTCCTTCACAAGGAAAGAGAGTGTTCAGACTTGTAAATCCCGTGTGTTGCCTTCAATGATTTTGAATTCATCATGAAGCGCATCGTTCAAAAACTGATTGGTGAATCGTGTCGCTAATGTCTGCTATCGACTTGCGTATCGAACGGCCCTGATGGTCCAGGTCGGCTTCCCCAGTGTCCATCTCTCTGGAGCTAAACTGGACGTTAACAGTCTTCAAGCTAATCATAAAAGCACTCACTGTCAGTTGAATTACGTGGTGATGAAACACAATATTTGATCAGATTGCACAGGAAACACAAAAAATTAAGAACCATCCATCCAATATCGTAATCGCTTATCCCCAAATGGATTCGGGGAGAACTGGAGCCTATCCCAGTAGCCAATGGGGAGAGGCGGGGTCACCCTGGACGGTCCCCAGTCCATCACAGGGACACACAGAGACACACAAGGACCAACAACCGCACACACTCACACTAAGGGCAGTTTGGAGTCCAACAACCTAACATGCAGGTTTTTGGAGGGTGGGAGGAAGCCGGAGAACCCGGAGAGAACCCACAGACACAGGAGAACATGCAGAACCACCCAGAAAGGTCCTGGTTCCCCCGGGGACTCCAACCCAGAACCCTCTGGTCCTGGTTCCCCCGGGACTCCAACCCAGAACCCTCTGGTCCTGGTTCCCCCGGGACTCCAACCC